ATTTTGACTTGGTATTTTTTTGTGGGGAAGCTCTTTTACTACTTCTTCTATTTCTTCCATAGTAATTATTAGTCTGCTTAGAATTTCTGTCCCACTGGTGTCAATTTTATGTTGCATTTTTCTAGAAAATTATCCTGAAAATTTTTTCTAGAAAATGTCATCTGTTTACACATTTATTTTCATAGACTTGTACAAAATAAATCTCTTAAGATTTTTAAAATTTTCTCTGTTATGATAGTTATTTTCCTCTCGTCACTTCTAATTTTGTGTATTTATGCTTTCTCCCTTTTTTATTCACTATAGTAGCTAGTGGTTTGTTAATATTTCAACTTTTGTAATTTGACTTTATAAGTTCTACTCTTTTTTTGTTATTGTTGTTTTCTTACACATTTCTTTTATCTTTATTATTTCTTTCCTTCTGCTCTCTTTTGGCTTATTTTTAAATTCTTTATCTAGATTTAAATTTTATTTTATTTTTATTAATATAAATATTTCCTAGTATAAATTTTCATCCTGTAACTGTTATCTCATAGATTCAAGATATTCTGCAATTTCACCCTGTTTCCCCTTTCACCTAAGAGTTGTTTATTAGACTGTTTTTATGCTTCTAAAAAAAGCCTTTTAAATTTTTTATTTTATTATTAGTTTCTGATTTTATTGTATTGTGGTCAAAGAATCATGTTTTTGTTATTTTTATTCTTTAGAATGCATTTACTCTTTAAATGCGTTTTCTTTGTGACCTAAGTACAATCAATTTTCATAAATGTTCATGTGCACTTGAAAAGAAGGTATGGTTCACTGACAGTCACCCCCCAAATATATCAGGTCCTAATGCTTAGAACCTGGAAATATTGCTTTATAAGGAAAAAGGGTCTTCAAAGATATGATGGAGTTAAGGATTTGTAGATGGGTAGATTATCCTGGATTATCTGATTGGGCCCTAAATGCAACCACAAGTGTCTTTACAAGAGAGAGGCAGAGGGACATGTGACACACACAAAGGAGAAGGCTGTGCAAAGATGGAACAGAAATAGATTTGAAGATGCTGGCCTTGAATATCAGAAGGCTGCAGCCCTGCAAACACCTTGATTTCAGCCCAATGAAACTGATTTTAGGCTTGTAGCCTCCAGAATGTGAGAGAATAAATTTCTGCTGTTTTAAGCCACCAAGATTATAGAAATGTGTCACAGCAGCCATAGGAAACTAATACAGAAGGAGTTTATTTATCAGGTTTCAGAGATTTGTATATGGTATATATTCTATATTATTGATTATCTTGTCTAGATTTTCTGTATTCTTCCTGATTTTTTGTCTACTTGCTCTGTCTCAGATTGAAAGAGATATATTAAAGCCTCCTATTAGTACTGGGTTTCTATTTCTCCTAACATCTCCTGTTGTATCTGCTTTAGTGAAAATTTTGTCATGTTATTGGCTACATAACATTAATCACTATTTTATCTTTATTCCGTACTGTAGCCTTAACATTATAAAGTGCCCTTCATATTGTTTTAGGTGTGTTCTTGTAAACAACATAATGTGAATTTTGCTTTGTTAGCCAATTCGAAAATCCTTTTCTTTTTCCAGGTGAGTTAAACCTATATATATTTAGTAATATAATCTATATACTTGGCCTCGGTTCTGTAATATTTATCTATGCTATATAAATTATATACACTCATACAGACAGACATAGAGTCATCCACTTATGTGGTCTGTTTTATTTGCTTGCCTTCTCTTTTTCTTTCAGCATTTAGGAAAGTTGGTATTTTTGTTCTAAGGTTACCTTTAGAATAATACCTTTATATGAGAACCTCAATCCCCTCTTCTTTTGGATACTGCCTATCAGTTACCTACTATGAACAATATTGGAATTAGCTAGTAATCTTTTCTTTCTCCTTCCCTCCTACTCCTTCAGCATCTAATTTGAAATAATAGCTTTTTTCTTCTAATTAATATCAAGAAGGCAATCAGCAAGCTGTTCTATTTCCATATGCTCTTCATCTTCTCATTTTTGGGTAGTTATACAAATAGTAATAGTTTTTGATAGTTACATATTTTTGGTAGTTATATTGTTTCTACAATGCAGAGTAGATAAGCATTTCATAATGAACATCTCCTTTATTTTGATCATTTAGTCACAGTACTAGAGATAAATATATAATCAATGCCCTTCGAATATAGAAGTCAAACTCAATTTCCTGGATTACCTTACAGCCAGGACACAAGCAAGTGACTAAATTCTGCCAATCACAGATTTTGATTCAGAAGTGACTACTGTCAGGAAGCACGCTGTGTAGGGAGCTGCCATTTGTACTGGAAAAGCTGATAACCTGGGGCATCCAACTTTCAAAAGCAACGGTGGGGGAAGAGCAGTTTCCTAGTGATTTTAAGGTCATGTTCCTGATGTGGAAGTGGCATTCGTGCTGGTAGCAGTAGTAGCTGCAGTAAAATCTAATTTCTGGTGTTTGTCTTTTGTAGCCATGACATCAGTGGCCAGTTCTCCAGCTTGGTTTTGGAACCCTAGCTTTGAGATTGTTTCTTCAGCCTTCTTGACATTATTGTGAACTTCCTAAAATCCTTTAACATATCCCTCCTCTGCTTAAATTAATCAGAGTAGATACTGTTGTTTGCATCCAAAAGACCAGACTGCTAGCTGGAGGCCACACAACTCCCATTATTGTTGTGAAGACTGAATGATATAACTTACGCTAAAGCACCTAACACACAATAGTGCTTAGCAAGTATTTGTTTCCTTCTGGGTTCCCAGAGGAGGCAAATAATGGATACAGAGGCAGCCACACTAGATCATCTTGAAGTTTCTGAAATAGATTGCATTCATTAAAGATATATTCAGTTCCCTTTGTCTGGGCACTGAATGTCAAAACTCAAAGCTTCTTGGGATCTTTTTAGTCTATTAAACTCAGAAAGCGAAGGTAATAAGCTTTATGTGCAGGACCGGATGTAAAAGTCAGGAGGCTTGGTATTAACAGTAGAGAGTAGGACAGGGAAACCGAGACCCCTCTCTCTATGGCCACCCCTAAATTCTGTTCAAAACAAGCAAGCCACTATATTTATACGCCACAGTTGGCCACAGCAAAAGGCTCTTCCAGCCACCAAAATTGCACTAGTAGTGTGGTCTCCACTACAAACGTACAATTACAAAATTACATTAGTAGTACAAAAATACATGTTCACTTTAAGGCAAAAAGTGAAACACAGGTTGACTTTAAATGTTGAAAGAAAGCATGTCAACGCCAAAAGGAACCAGAGAGATTATCTAATCCAAGCCCATTGGGTTATACTTGGGGAAACTGAGTCCCAATGGGGTTAACTGCCTGCCTAGAGTGACACAACTAGTTAGTGCTGAATAGAGACTAGAACCTCTGGCTCCTGAAATCCAGTTTAAATCTGCTTCTTCTTATGTGGCATCACCTCCCTCCCTTTTCATCTCAGAAGCGCTGCCGTGGTCAACCAATTTTCTTCCCTAGTCATAAACATCCACAACAAAAGTAAGAATACCAGAAAAGAAAAGGAAATTCAAGGTTAAAAACCTTCAGGACTTGAAGGGAAGAAAGAAGCTTATAACTACATTAAAACAGACAAACTTTCTTTTTAATTACAAAATCTATCTGCAATAATTCAAATCAAAGTTCATAGATTAAAAAGTAATATTTCACCCATTTATCCAATCTTACTTCCCCGAAGTTATCACTTTTATCATTTGGGTGAATATCCATTCAGATACTTTATACTGGAGCTCATATCTCAGGTTAGGTCATTTAGGTCAAGCCTATTTTAAATATACCACTCACTGGAATTAGATAACTGTGAAATTTTTTAAAAAATAATTATTATAAGCAAAAAGTGTACCTCATCACTGAAAATAGATATGTAAATTCTCTCAGAGGACTGGCCTTTTTGGAAGTAGTGAAACAGTGTTTCAATTCCCTATATGGAAAACAAACAGATAATTAATGCACAGCAATCCACTTATACTGGAACTTCCTTTGTATTTTGTTTATGTTGATTTGGCCAAATTCTCTTTTCCTTACGTTTACTTCTGCTGCCAGTGTTAACTCATTAAGTATTTTGAGGTAAAGAAGGCATCAACAGTGACAGCATTCCCCACTAAACTTCTATATTTCTGATTTAGTGATTAAGTACCTTCTAGTTTTTCCATTTCTCTCAGACTAATACACATTTTGGTTATTCATTCTTCAATGTGGAAATTTTTTTTTATTTTCAGAAATCTTTTGGGAATATTCAAGGCTTCAACATACACTATCCATTTTCTACTTTGAAGATATAAGAATACAGCAACTTAGGGGGAAAACGCTATGTGCATTGTTTGTTTACATACCAAAAGCTACATAAATTATATCACTACTTTATCTTTCTGGTATTGCAAATAAAAGATCATTTAAACTATCAATGGCTGATTTTCTTAGGCTATAGGAATTACTTGATACTATCTAAGATACCCAGTGCTCTATGAATAATCTTTAAATTTATAATTCTCCTGCTACTATTGAGCTGCAGATTGGCAGAAGAGAAATTAGTTTTTCCAATTCACCATTACAATACAATTAAAATCCCCATGAACAACGCTAAATGTTAGAAATGCCTAATAAATTGTGAACTCTTTGCTATTCAATTCGATTGTTCAAATTCACAGATTCCTGAGTCAAACTAAGGTAAATTTCGGTTCCAATTATGGAAAAAAAGTCTCTTAGCATGCCAAATGAGTTAACCAGTTAACTCTAGCAGCCAGGCCAAGAGCCGGCGGTTTAGAGGTTGGCAGGTACCCGCCCAGCTCTGAGAGTAAGTCTTCCAGGGCTCCAAAAGCTCAGAGCATTAAGCTTTGCCGTCGCTCTCCACCTGTCTCACACCGATTAGTCGGCCCCGCCCCTTCCTTTAGCCCCGCCTCCTACGCACAGCCGCGCCTTCCACGCCCCCTTCCGTTTAGCCAATAGCCGCTGACGTTCGTGGCAGCAGGACTTCCCTCCCCGCCAATGCCGGAGATCCTTGCTGTCCCGGTCCCGCCCCTGCCAGGAGCTCGGCCGGAAGATGGCGGCGGCCGCAGAGTTGACACTGCTGGAGAAGTCTCTGGGGCTGAGTAAAGGGAACAAATACAGCGCCCAGGGCGAACGCCAGGTGAGAAACGGAGGCGGCGCGGAGGTGGAGGTGGATAGGAGCGGGGCCTGCTGAGCCCGGGTAGGGCTGGGCCGGCCGGCAAAGGCGGGCGGAGCGAGGATGCGGCTCCCGGGCTCCCCACGTGTCCGCGCCGTGGCTGGGCTGGAGAGAGGAAGGGAACCTGCTCTGGTGGGCCTGGCCTGAACTTTTCCTCTTGGAAATTGTATCATCCCATTCTGGGAAAGCGAGGAGGGTCCTCAGAGAGCCTTTAGATAGACCAACCTGGAGACCCCGCGTTCGCGTTCAGTGACGACAGCATTTACTGGAACAGTACGTTTCATTCAGCTTTACGCAACTACTGCAGAGAGCTGACAGGGTGCCAAGGAGAACTGTGCGAGACCTAGGGCATACAGCGGTGGTTAAGGCAGACTCTCCCTCCCCTCAGAAAGCTTGCTTTACAGCTGGGTGGACAAACATTGCAGCTATTCTAATTACAGTACTGAAAAGTGCTACGTTGAATCGTAGACGTTTGAGAGAGCCCATCTTGGGTGTTGGCCCAGTCTGGGAGATTCGGGGAAGGCTTTTCTGAGGCCTTGTGATATCAAGTTCATTGTGCAACGTGCAGAGAATAAGAGGGAAAGTTGCACGGCATGAGATTGACTGATGAGGTGTAAGGACCCGGATTTCTCAGGGCATTGAAGGACATTTGTGTTTTATAAAGATCGGTGTTTGCCGTGGAGGGAATGTGTTAGAGGAGAATGATTGTAGGAAGACAACTTTGAATGTATACACTTTTTTATCCTTTTGAGATTTTTCCCCGATGACGTTTTAATTTTGGTTCGTACTTTTTCTGTTATTCATTTTGGTCCATGTTAAACTCATGTTTCGAAAACTGCCCTATTGTAGTTTTTTACAGTAAGTTAGACTGAAATCTAGAAAGGATATATGACTTGCCTAAGATCAGCCCTCTCATTGGTGGCAGAGTAGGCATTGGAGCCAGAGCTTCCTGCTTTTGCTTTTTCTTCTGGCCTCATGCGGATTCCTTCCCTTCAGCCACTGCTCCCTAGTTTGGTTTCTGTTTTTTAAGGAACATTGCCAAAAGGTGAGTCTTGCCTTCAGGGAGCTTATTATCTAGTATGAGAAACAGCCTTCAGCAACTAATTTAAAGCAGAACAGAATATTTACAAAATGGAGAGAAACATTGTGGAGGAGAAAGTTAATTCGGACCATAAGAATAGGTTTGTACATTTCAGTTAAAAGCTGGTGTTTAAAGTGTGTAAGACCAATAAATTATGAAAGATTGGGAAATTTGGGGCAACAGGTAGAGCAATATGATGAGTGAGGTAATGCAGTGTAAACCCAAAACTATGGTTTGAGGCCCAATTTTGAGGGCTTGGGAGTTCAGAGTGTCATTTCTTATTTTATTTTAATTAATTTTTTTTTTTTTTAGTGGATGACAGCTATTGAAAGTTTCTGTTTATGTGTTTGGAGAAAAGGTTGAGAATATGTGATAAGATTCAGTCATTTTTGGGGAAGACAACTGACAGCAGTAAGACATTCTCGAACGTTACCAGTAATAATTAAAAATTGAAAACAATCCAGAGATCCAGCTCTAGGAGAATGGTTCATTCAATTATGGTACATCAGCACATTGGAATATTGCTTATATAGCCATTGAAAGTGATTACTTTGAAGACCATGGAACCTTAAGATGAATGTGAAAATAGTATGTGTCCCATGATTGCAACTGCATAAGATTTGTATACTTTAGATTGTGTAAAGGAAAGAGAGTGGATTTTGGAGCCAATTACGCTTTTGTCACACCCTGACTGTGCCATTACAAACTTGGTGAGCTTGGTTCTTTACCTATAAAAAGAGGATGAGTTTACTTACCTATCTTAAAAGATGTAATGATTAGATGAGAAAGTAATTGGGAATTTTTTGAGTAACTGTGATGGGGTTGTGGATAATTTATTTTTATAAATAATTCTCTTTAAAATTGTCATTTTCCCCCCACACTCAACAATTGCAAGTTTCTTTCTTTCTTTTTTAGTATAAGATACATTCAGAAAAGCACACAAATCTCAACGAGTTACCACAAAGTGAACACACCCAGGTAACTACACAGTCAAAGATAGAACATTACCAGCACCCCTAGAGGGTTCCATATTGTTTTCTTTTAATGCATTTTTTGGTTTTTTTTGTGAGGAAGATCAGCCCTGAGCTAACATCCATGCTAATCTTCCTCTTTTTGCTGAGGAAGACCGGCTCTGAGCTAACATCTATTACCAATCCTCCTCCTTTTTTTCCCCAAAGCCCCCGTAGATAGTTGTATGTCATAGTTGCACATCCTTCTAGTTGCTGTATGTGGGCTGCGGCCTCAGGATGGCTGGAGAAGCGGTGCGTCAGTGCGCCCGGGATCCGAACCCGGGCCGCCGGTAGAGGAGCGCGCGCACTTAACCACTAAGCCAGGGGGCCGGCCCTAATGCACTTCTTTTTTTTTTTTTTTTTGTGAGCAAGATCAGCCCTAAGCTAATATCCGTGCTAATCCTCCTCTTTTTGCTGAGGAAGACCGGCTCTGAGCTAACATCTATTGCCAACCCTCCTCCTTTTTTTTCCCCAAAGCCCCAGTAGATAGTTGTATGTCATAGCTGCACATCCTTCTAGTTGCTGTATGTGGGACGCAGCCTCAGCATGGCTGGAGAAGCAGTGCGTCGGTGCGCACCCGGGATCCGAACCCCGGGCCACCAGTAGCGGAGTGCGCGCACTTAACGGCTAAGCCACAGGGCCAGCCCCACTAATGCATTTTTTAAAGAAAATTATTGGTGATCTTACAGGTAGTGGTTTCATTTGAGTGTGAAGGCAAAAGTGAGAATTCAAGGAGCTAAGTAGTGAATGGGAAGTAGTAGGTGAAGTGGAAAGTGGGGAGTACCTGTAGTTACTTCCTTTAACTTCTGGAGGAAACCTTTCAATCTGTATCCGTAAAATGTTAATCTCTCCATGTACATCACAGAATCCTGTTGACCTAGGACTAGATATGAGTATGAAAGTGTCCTCGGAAGTGTAAATCATTATATGAGATACTATTTCATGGCTGAAAAGAGCAGCAGTCTTCCCAAGAAAATATTCTCTTTTGGTTTGCTTAGGTTGGTTAGATCGTACACTTGTCATTTATAGTTGGTAGGTCTCCCCACTGGATGATACTTTCCATTTTCTTTTAAATTCTCCCAATGCTTCACTTAGCCTTACATCAAGAACATTTAAATTAATTAGCAATTTCTTATAATCTGACCCTTTGTATTGCTGTTATAATAGGGGAAACATAAAAAGTAGGATTATTTTTCAGAGGATTACCTGGAGCCTAGACTTTATTACATTAGTCTCAATTATATTTTGGAACTTTTTTAAAACATGAAATATTGGCCGCCATTTAAAGTGACCTCACTTTAAATGACTCCAAAATTGATGAATATGCAATCCATGGCAACCAAGTCACCATCACAGTCCATACCTAGTTAATGAGATAGCTAATTATATTAAATCACATATCAATAAAGCCAGCCTAGATCCCATTTGGTGGTTCTAACAAATCAACATGAACTCAGTGTTACTATAATTGTTTCTTATTTTTGTTATTACAGAAGTCAGGTTTATTTAAGTATGTTCACCTTGCTAAAACAGGGTATGGATAAACTTGATCGAAATTAATGCAGTATTATTAGGATTTCTACCTTCTCTTTTTGTACATACACAGTTACAAATTATGTAGAAACATTATGATTTTTGCAGTGTTATTACCAGTTTCATCATCAAGCATCTGTTATCAAGTGTAAATTATCTAACTGCTAGTTTTCTGACTTTCATTTGTACATAATTTAGTATCTTAGAGTATTTGAAAAAACACTTGAGGGATTTCGCAATTACTTAAAACTTACAGTTGTGATGGTAAATGTTTTTTAAATTTATGTGAAGAATTTTTTTTTTCTTTTTAAGATTCCAGTTCTTCAAACAAACAATGGCCCAAGTCTAACAGGATTGACTACTATAGCTGCTCATCTAGTCAAGCAAGCCAACAAAGAACATTTGCTTGGGAGCACAGCAGAAGAAAAAGCAATAGTTCAACAGTGGTTAGAGTACAGGGTAACTCGGGTAGACGGACACTCCAGCAAAGATGACATCCGCACTCTGTTGAAGGTATCTAGACTTCTTTACAGGCTGAAATGCATGACTATTAACAGCAGGAGTCTCTCTCCCCTGAGAGTCAATAGCTGAAGCTGTTGGCCTTCTTTACTTGTTTCCGTCTGCCTCAGGGCAGTTTGTACCTGTTACTACCTTTGCCTGGAGCATAGTCTGCCAGCCTTCTCCCTTCAGATCTCAGCTTAGATACCCCTTCCTCAGAAATGTCCTTGACTACCTCTCGCTTAGACAGGTGCTGTTCCTTGTTCTATATGCTTTTCCTTCATCACACAGCACCCTATGCTTTTCCTTCATAATACTCATCATTGTCAATAATTATGGTTTGTCAAAAATGTCAAAAATGCTTTTTTTTTATGTGATGGCTTAATATTTTTGCCCCCACTCAGCAGCCCTGATTCCTGAAGCAATAAAGTACTGTCTCAAAGGCAAGGGGGCATCAGAATCTTTGAAGGTTGTAGTTGGAAAAAAATTGTCTGATTGATCTGACTTATTGCTTTAGGATTTATATTTTCTTTCCAAAGAAGTCAGATTAGAATAAAAGAATCTATTGATATAAAATACAAACTGCATATGGCTCCAGAGTCACCAGGAATGAAGAACATTCCAAATGAGATTTTTTTTTTAATTATTTTAATAAAAATGAAGCAGTTATTTTTGTTTTTGTTTTTCATTTTGGTGAGGAATATTGGCCCTGAGCTAACGTCTGTTGCCCATCTTCCTCTTTTTGCTGAGGAAGATTGTCGCTGAGCTAATATCTGTGCCCATCCTCCTCTATTTTTGTATGTGGGTTGCTGCCACAGCATGGCTTGATGAGCGGTGTGTAGGTCCGCGCCCAGGATCCAAACCTGTGAACCCTGGGCCACTGAAGCAGGGCATGTGAACTTAACCACTACGCCACCAGGCTGCCTCCTGCTGTTTTTTTTTTAAGCTTAAAATTTGAGGAAACCTTAGAGATCATCCAGACAACCACATATCATTGCAGGAATCCCCTCTGTTACCTAATTTTATTCCCATTAACATATAAATTGGTAATATAAGTTGTTCAAGAACATCTTATAGTATTGAAAGTTTTTCATTTGTCATTCTAGGGAAAATGGTTTAAACTATATTCTTGATGATACCATCAAGAGAACTGGTAGAAAATAAATTTCAGGCCTTGTTCCTTTATAGGTCTGTCGTGATCAACTGTTCATCCTTAATGTCCATGCTGACCCTTCCCTCTGCCACCTGCCATGCTTGGCAACATTACCAGAGGGAGCAAGCATGTCTTCCTTCTAATGGAATGTGAGATTTCAGGCAAATAAAAAGTAAATATAACTATCTCTTATCATTTTCCAAAAGAAAGGATAGTAATCAAATACTTAATTCTGAAACATATGAACAGGATTTCATTGAATTGGGTTTATAAGTCCAAAAGTTGTGTTCATAGGTATGGTATTAGGAGCATAGAAGGAATTCCACCAAAATGTTGTAGCTGGGGTATGTAAATATTATTATCTGAAATTTCAAGCAGGAGAATCTGACTGGAGATATTGCCATTTTTGAAACGTACGAGGCACTGGGTGCCTTGGATTGTGGTCATTGTTCTGCCACAGTTTGCTCATCTGTACCTACAACGATGTGCCAGATACATGTAGTTCCAGGGGCTAGTGAATCAGTGCCCATCAGGCACAGTCCCTGCCCTTACAGAACTCGGACCAGTGGGGGAAACAAATATATGGGTAATGGACTGCAGTGTGATTTTTGGCTACATAAGCACACATGAGAAAGGGTTATTTTCTGTTTTGCTTTGCTTTTTGCTATTTCATGATAGTATTTTTATTTTAAAGGCAGTAAATATTTATTATAGAAATGTAGGAAATATAACTAAAGAAGTAAAAGAATTTCAAACATTTGTAGTCCCACTGTCAAGAGAGAACTGTTAATAACACTTATGTTCAGTCATCAAATATTTATTGAACCCCTTTTGTATTTCCATGCTTTTTCTTTTCATATGCACGTGTGTTTGTGTTTTATTTTACAATTGAGTAACTATTGGACACTGTAACTTGTTTTTTTGTTCACTGACAATTTGTTGTGAACATCTTTCCATGTCCATAGATATTTACTTACACTATCTTTTTGATAACCTGTTAGTATTCCATCATTTAGTTATAACAGAATTTAAATAGTTTATCCCTGTGTAGTGACTAGATTGTTGCTAAATATTTTCACACATTCCCATTTGTTTCCTTGGGCTAAATTCCTACAGGAGAAATTGCTGGGCCAAAGCTATATACATTTTTAAGGCTTATTTTGCTCATTTGCCTTCCAGAAAAGTATATTATAGTGTGGTGGTATTTGAGAGTGGCCTCTTCCACAAAACCCTTGCTGATATGTATATTACCCTTTTTCTCCTTCCCTACCCAAATTTCATTACCAAAACAAACCAAAAAGTGATTTCTTTGTTCACTTTGTATTTTTCCCTTAAAATTATTAATGCTGTGACATTTTTTCATAATGCTTATGATCATTGTTTTTAAAAATTTGCTTATATGTATTCTTTGCCCATTTTTATACTGGGCTCTCTCTATTGGTTATTTTTAAAATTCTTGCTATTAGGATATTATGAAAGGATTTAATTCTTATCTCTAAAGTTCCATTTCAGTGCTAAAAACCACGATTCTAAGTTTAAATGGCTCATAGTTAAGGTAATATGGAATTTCAAAAACCAGACATTATGAAACACTAACATTTGTTGAATCTAGATCAAGTATATATAATTGTTTATTATACTGCTTTTTCAATATTATTAGAATGCTTAATAATAGATAGGTAGGAGGAAAAAGAAAAATCAGGTGGAATTCTATAGGGGAAAATATTTTTAAAAGTTTGGTAATGGCATCAGAAAGACTTGTAAAACAAAAAAGGAAAGGAACATCAGACATTAGTTCTGTTCTGTGAATATTTTGAATGTGTGAAATTCTGTGGTTTGGTAGGAAAAATTTGATTTGTGTCACTAATCAGAAAAATATTACCTAATCATAATCTTTTTAAACTCCATTTTTTTAGAGTTTATAACTAAAGAATACAACACAAAGGTCTTCATGACTAGAACATAGATATGGATTCTATTTTAAGAATATATATGCTTTACAAAGCAGTGTTAAATTATTATTTCAGACCTTTTAAAATGCTTCTTAAAATTAAATGAAGATGTATTTATTTTATTTTTATACTTTATCAAAGTTGTTTCATTTGAAGAGAAACTATCTCCAATTCAATGGATTACTATAGAATTTAAGTGGTAGCCCCTAATATACCAACATATTTTACCCTCCCTACCCAAATTTTATTTTGATTCTTCTGCCTTTTTCTCCTCATTTCTGTCCACATCCCTTTATGTCCTCATTGTACCACCCCAGCAATTTCATATTCATATACCGCTTTGAAAATGACTGTCTTTAAATAGAGACATGGGCAAACTCAAAGAGATTAAATACAATTCAGCAAGTATTTACTAAGTACTGAACCACTATGTACCAGGCATTTGAGATGTGATTTGAAAATTAAAACAAAATGCTCTCTCTACAGCTTGAATTTTTCCAGAATAAATGCTGGGCAGTGTTTAATAACTAGTATTTAGAGCAGCCTGTGAGAATATCTGATATTACTTCATGTAACCTATTTATAAACCTTTTACTGAAGGTTATGTGAATCTTTTGTCTCATTTAATTTGAATGTAATTTAACATCAATTCCTGTGCTGTTAAATTACATGTTAATTTTGAGAGCGACCAAAAGTATTCATATAATACTTTTTATCTAGATTTTTTTTCTTTTCTCAGGAAACTCATTGACTTGTTCATGCTGGTCTGTCAGACAATACTTCTTTTTCTTTTTGGAAGGTTCACCCAGAACTAACATCAGCTGCCAACCCTCCTCTTTCTTTTTTTTTTGTACATGAGCCACCACCACAGCATGGGCACTGACAGACCAGTGGTGTAGGTCCACCCCTGGGAACGGAACCTGGGCCGCTGAAGTGGAACGTGCCGAAATTAACCACTAGGCCACTGGGGCCGACCTCAAACAATACTTCTAATTTAGATTAAGATCTTCTAAGATTTTTATTTCATTTTTTAACATGTACTTTAAAATTTTTTTTCCTTCAGGAGTGCCTTTTGGATAGTTAGGGAGCTCAGTGCTTATTGGTATTTTTTTGGTAATGATTTTAAATGAATTCTTTTTTGTATATACTTAAATTAACATAACCTTTTAAAAATTGATCATCATTGTCTGGAGAACAAATGACAGAGAGCTCTCTGTAGCTGTTAATGGTACTGTATTTAAAACTGGAGTCTTTAAGGTATTAGAAAAACTAGATATCCAGTTGCAAAAGAAAACTCTTAGAAGAAAACATAGGGAAAAAGCTTCACATCATTTGGTTTGGCAATGATTTCTTGGATATGATACCAAAAGCACAGGCAACTGTTGTAAGAGGTTCGATGGATTCGATCAGAGACGTAAAAGAAACTTTCCACCACAAACAAATGGACTGAATGTACTCTTTATTATATAGGAAGGGGTAAAGGTGAGAGCTAGCAAATAGATCCGAATAGGTCAATAAAAAGAGGAAACAACATCAGATCAACCGAAAAGAAGAAACATCAGATCGACCGAAGGGAAACAACATCAGATCATTCGAAAAGAGAAACATCAGATTGATCGAGAGAGAAACATCAGATTGGATACTTACAACATCCATGCCCTAACACTGGGGAGAGTCCCTGTACTTGACATGGCTAGGTGGGAGTGCAGGTCGAAAGAGGTCCTGGGCAAGGCGTACCCCCCACAGGCGAGACTCTCATCAGGCCCCAGTTTCTAGCAGCTTATATAGTATGGGAAAGTTTCAGAGTGAGGTTTTGCAGAGTAAGCATTTGGTGTTGTCGTGCACAAATGGTTATCAGTGGTGTACATGCATTGAGCCCTCTGGCTATCATCCCAGCCCGGCAGGTGTGTATGTGTGTTGAGCCCCCTGGCTATCGTCCCAGCCTGGCACAGATGGCCAGCCTGTCCCGAGCTACGATGCCCAAAGGGTCTTGTAATCTTACAAATTGCAACTATCTCTGTGGGAGAAGGGCCGGTTCCCACCACATAGAAGGCCGCTTTATATTCCTTTGTGTGCTGCTAGCTGTAGGTCCATGGAATGGCCAAACTTGGCTGTTCTCATGTCAAGACAGCAACAAAAGTAAAAAGAGATAAGTTGGACTACATCAAAATTTAAAACTTTGTGCATCAACAGAGACAATCAACTGAGTGAAAAGGCAACCAATGGAATGGGAAAACATATTTGCAAATCATGTATCTGATAAGGGGTTAATATCCAAAATATATAAAGAACTCCTACAACTCAACAACAAAAAAACTAAGAACCCAGTTAAAAAATGAACAAAGACTTGAGTAGACATTTCTCCATAGAAGATAGACAAAGCTAACAAGCATATGAAAAGATGCTCACCATCACTAATCATTAGGGAAATGTAAATCAAAACCCCAATGAGATATCACCTCAAGTCCATTAGGTTGGCTACTACCAAAAAAACAGAATATAACAAATGTTGGCGGGGATGTGCAGAAATTGGAAACCTTATGCACTGTTGGTGGGAATGTAAAATGGTGCAACTGCTGTGAAAAACAGTATGGCGATTCCTCAAAAGATTAAAAATAGAATTACCATATGATCCAAGAATTCCACTTGAGGATATATACTCAAAAGAATTCAAACTGGGTCTCAAAGAGATATTTGTACACTCATGTTCATAGCAAAAGTATTCACAATAGCTGAAAGGTGGAAACAACCTAAATGTCTATAATGTCCATTGATGGATGAATGGATAAACCAAATGTATATTTGGAGTATTATTAGAATGGAATGGAATATTATTCATCCTTAAAAAGGAAAGAAATTCTGATGCATGCTACAGCATGGATGAACCTTGACAATATGCTAAGTGAAATGAGCGAGTTACAAAAAGATAAATACTCTATGATTCCACTTATATGCAGTATCTAAAGTAGTCAAATTCATAGTAAACAAAGCAGAATGATTGTTGCCAGGGCCTGAGGGGAGGGGGAAATGGAGAAATTGTTTAATAAGTATAGAGTTTTAGATTTGCAAGATGAAAAAATTCTGAAGATTGGTTACACAACAATGTGAATATGCTTAACACTCACTGAACTACACACTTAAAAATGGTTAAGATGGTAAATTTTTATATTACATGTATTCTGTTGCAATTAAAAATTTTAAAATATACATATACAAAAAATGCAACAAACCAATAAATTATAATTCTCTTAAGAGAAGTTATTGAGGAGCTTTTTATATTTTAATGGAAAAAATAAATCTAATGTGAGCATGATTTACAAAATGTTTCCCTCCAAAAAAATAAAAATTGGAGTCTTCAAGATAATCATAAATGACATTTTGAATATCATTTTCTAATATTTTCTTATTTCTTTAAAATAAAATAAGACTAATAATGTTTACTCTATTTTTTAAAAATGAAGTGATTTGGTATATGATTTGTGATTTTGAATGAATCTGAATCTTAATGTCAAAGATTAAATTTGTTAAATTAAGTGTATTTTGTTTTCTAACAGCCTTCTAAAGTTTTGTCAAATGATGTGATAGTTAACTTCATTATTATCTTTTTTATGTTAATATTTTATTATTTGTTTTTTCTAGGATCTTAATTCATATCTTGAAGATAAAGTCTACCTTACAGGATATAACTTTACCTTAGCAGATATCCTATTATACTATGGACTTCATCGCTTTATAGTGAGTATTTGAATAGTTATTGGCTTTTTTTCTGTAATGTTCAGAATGATTTTTATTTGTCTTGAATTTAAATCAAATTTGCATTTTCAACTTATCAAATGAAAATGAAAGCAATTATTTTTATACAAGGTACCTTATGTAAATATTCCTTCCATGTGTGCATCGAACATGGTAGCTTCCTGTTCTTGATGCTTGGTTCCTGTTCCTCTGCTCTTCTTCAAGACGACTTCTCTTGCCACCCTTTGGACTCAATTGTCATCATTACCTGGACCCCATTGTTGTCACTCTGCCCCACCTCTACATCTTAATTCCAGTACCCCATCTTCTGTGCAACTTCTTATTCTGTCTTTTAATCGCCTGCTCCCTAATCCCATCATTATCTGAAGTAACTCGATTCCTTCCCTTTTTCCAAATCTAGACACTTTCTTCCCCATCCAACTTAGATCTCTTGTGTAACTTCAACTACATTCCCTTGTTAGCATCTTTAGTTTCTCTGCTGTGCTGTATATTTACCACCATTTCCCTGTAAATCTCCAACTCTTGTTCAGTCCAAATAAATGCCTTCAATCCCGTATCCAGGCTGAGCTCTGTTGGAGAAATCACAAAGCTACCGATTGGTGCCACTATAAATTTATACTATCCATTTTCAGCTGGGCTTTCTTACTGATCAGCTCTTTCCTTCCTCTCAGGCATACTTCCAGACTTTTACCACTTTCCTCGAGTCCCACCCCTCATCCTTCCCCTTTATCTAATCGTCTTTACAGAGCCTTCCTCCCTCATTCAGCTAGAAAATGGAGGCTATGGTTTGAATCCCCTCATCTTCCAGCCCACCTACGTGTACTTCCTCATACATCTTGTCCCCTTTTTCTGGCCTCAGAAAGGCTCTTGCTTTTTTCCTAGACTAATCCAGTCATCTAGTCATCTAGCCTCTTAACCTCAACTCCCCCTCCTCCTCCTGCCCCCTTTTTGGATCTTCTCCCAAATTTAATATTTTTTCTTTCTTGTATCTTCAGTTTTTCCCTCTGTCTGCTCAATCTCTTTATTTTCAATTGTTTCCCATCTTAAATTTATTTGCAAACAATTATATAGCACTCACTGTGTTCTAGGCACTGTTCTTGATGCTTTATAAATGATACTTATTTAATCCTGATAACAGCCCTATGAGGTGGGTGCTATTATTATCATCCCCTTTTTACAGATGAAGTAACTGAGGCCTAGAGAGGTCAGATGCCTTCTTTGAGGTCACCCAAGTAAGTGGCAAAACCAGGTCTGGAAACCAGGCAGTTTGGCTCCAGAGTCTGTGTTTTCTTAACATCTATCTCTTCATCTAAAACCTTCCCTCAGCCCCTCATCACCCCAACCTCCATATTCTCCCTGTGGAAAAAGAGCCCATACATTTTTCTGTATGCTGTACCTCATGCATCCAGTCAGTCAGGTCGTGTTGTTTCCACCTCCTGGATGCCTCTCACATGTGTCTGTTCCTGTGATACTGCATGACATTGCCCTAGTTCCGAAATTCATTATCTTGTCTGGGCTGTTGAAATGGCCTTCTGGCACCAGTCTCATCTCTTACAGTCCGTCTTTATTCCCACTGGAGTGATTCTTCTCATGAATGTGTCCTTTTTTTCTCAAAATAATTAAGTAGCTCCTCACTCCCTAGGATAGGAGACCCCTTTTCACGTTACCCTGCCTCCCTCATCACCATCAGTCTCCCCACACACCTCTCTCTCAGCCACGACCTACTCCCTGGAGTCTCCTCAGCCTGTGCTCTCTGCTCAGTGTCCTTGTACTGCTCTTCTCTTTTGTTCCTTGGTCCCAGCCCTTGTCTTCCTCCCCAATTCATTTGTATTTCTTCAGGTGTCACTCAGTTCCAGCACTGATTCCCTGGTGAAGGAAGGCCTCTTCAGGCTCCTAAAGCATATTGAAGTGCTCTTTCCTCTGTTTCTTTTTGTACCTCACAGACTACCTCAGCTCTGGCTCAATTTGCTTTGTACTGCAATTCTTCTTGGGAAATTTCTCTCTCTTTTAAATGATAAACTGCTTGAGTCAGAGATTGTAGCAATTCATTTTTGTAACACCGCTGTTGGACATAATTCCTGGCACATGGGTGTAGTCTGCCCTCCCCTCCATAAACATTGAAGAACATATTTAACATATTTCTTTATATCTTTCAAGAGTTTAATATATATTTTCTCATTGTACCTCATAACTATGAAAAAGATAGGACTAGTGGTGTCCTCTTGCTACAGAGAAGGAAACTAATGCTTAGGAACATCGAGGGCTTCATGCAAAGACACAGAGCTCAGGTTTTGGAAGGGCCCAGACAAACTAGGTCTTTTGGCTCAAGTGTCATGATGTGTGAGGAAGCTCTTCGAGAACGAAAATACCATAATAACGTATGATAGTTATTCTTCGTCCCCCACTCAAGCTATAATTCCTCAATTTGGATTTATTTGACTTATTAAGCATTATTTCTCTAAGATCCCTAAGTGATTGTGTTAAGTTCTAAAACGTTATTATAGTAATGGCCTAGTATGATCCTTAATTTGGCATAATATTCTCTATTATTACAAGTTTACTTATTGAGAGCTTATCATATGTGCCTGTTATACTATACTTGAGGGGCATAAAAGAAGTATAAAACTCTATTTTCAAGCAACTATTGATCTCATTGAAGAGATAAGACTGTTTTATATGGGAACAATTGGTGAGTAAGAGAAAATGGAATCCAGTGCTGATTTCTGATCAGAATATTATGTGATCTGGGCTGGCCCCGTGGCTTAGCGGTTAAGTGCGCACGCTCCGCTTCTCGTGGCCCGGGTTCAGATCCCGGGCGCGCACCGACGTACCGCTTCTCCGACCATGCTGAGGCCACGTGCCACATACAGCAACTAGAAGGATGTGCAGCTATGAATACAACTATCTACTGGGGCTTTGGGGGAAAAATAAATAAATAAAATTATAAAAAAAAAAAGAATATTATGTGATCAGTTAAAGAGGCAGATAGAGAAAAGTAGGATGTAGAATCATGAAATTGTCAGAAAAATATCTGCAGAATTTGGTTGGCTTTGGCTGTCCATGGGAATTGTCATTGTTGTAGAAAGCTTATGATAGTTTGACTATAAATATTGCTCCTAAGTAGGATGACCATATGATTTCTCATCCAAAACAACACTTTGACAGTGAAAGAAGGGCTTTCTTTCACAACAGAAATAAAGTGGAGTGAATGTTCCCCATACTTAGAAGGAATATGACTCAATTTTAAGCAAAATAACGAGAGTGAGGAGGATCATGTCATACTTCTCTTTGTACCCCTCCCAGGTCTTGGTACAATGCCTTGTGCAACTAAATGCTTGGTGAGATTAGCAATATTTAGCGATCTCTACCTCTTTATATTTCCTATTTTAAGTTGCATATCTTTATAGTGAAAGTGTAATCTTTAGTTATATACTTCAATATAATTAAATCTAAACTAATCTTATTTAAATGTGAAGACAGTTTAAGTAGAGCTGCAATACTTTGCTCATACCAGCTTCTTTTTATTCCATTTTAGATTCAATATATTTTAGTAGCTTTTTGAATGTCAAATGGTGACGTGGCACAACTTACCTTATTTCAAAATGCAGAAAGCCTCCACAGTACAAAGGGTTTGTTGTTAAGGTAGCCGAGGATCCTTCTCTTGGTGGTAAACCCACATACATACAGTCTTACAACCTGGAGGAGCCCATAACTTGATTTGAGTGAGACTGTGCTGCTAAGAGCATAGCTACCTTTTAGAGGGGAACAAGAACAATTTATGTCTAAAAACAACAACAACACGCTTGTTGACATTTTTAAAACGTATTTAAATATGGCCTTACTTAATTTTAAAACGTCACATGAAGAGAAATGTCATCTCTAATCCTTTGTGTGATGTCTCTTGGCAGACTAGTGAAGGCCTGTCAGGACCAGTGCAAGGTCTGGCTTCATGTAGCATCAAGCTGTCATTAAGAAGGAGAGCATTTCTCCCATCTAATTGAAAGAAAAAAAAGACAATAATGAAGTGTAACTCTTACAAACCAAGAATCTATTTACATTTTTCTCTCTTCTGGCTTATGCAGGTCCTGCAGTAGGGAAAGGAATACTCTGAGAAGGAGGGAGCTTATATGGAGTTTTTTTTTGCCAGGAGAATGAACATGGTCATAATTTCATAATGCAAAATATTCATGGCACCAGCTGCAAAGTTATTTAATTATGAGTCTAGGTGCCCTTGAGGGCATTTGGTTTTCAAGCAGGTTAGAAGTGTTTCGTTCAATGCTGCACGTTAAAACTAGGGTTACATTAACAATATTTAATGACCTGCACCAATTTAGATTTCCTGTTTTGGAATGTATATCCTTTTTATATGTAGTGACCAAGATATTATGATTAAGAATATTATGCTTATATTTTTCAAAAAAAAAATTGAGTGGAATAATATGTAAATCACTCTGTTAACCATCGCTTTGTGTTCATAAAATTAGTCCATAACCAAAGCATCTCTCCCTGCCATCCAAGTGCAGACAGAGTACATCGGAGAAGTAACACCTTCTCAATGAACAGGTCTCACAGACTAAAACCTGTACTGGGACAGAACTGCACTGTGCTGTTAAATAACATCCCTGTTGAGTTAGGTGTAAATATACCCAGGTGAGAAAAAAATGATTACTAGGTATCAAATTCAGGCAGAGTAGATGTGAAGTCGGATTGGCTACGTGCTCATAGTCATCAGACAGTTTCTCGTGCTTTGTTTGCTTTAGCAGTATGTTTATTTTTGCCCTCGTGCATTCCTTCATTTATTTGTTCATGTTATTAAGTACTTAATCTGTAATCAGCGCAGTGTACAAAACAGCAGTCAGGGAACCCTCAAGTCATCTACTAACCCCACTGTATTTTGTTTCAGTGTGAGCCCAGTGTTAGTTGTGGCTGTTACTCTATTTATAAGATCTAGTCTATCTTAATTCCCTTTGAGGACTATTACGTTGTTCTTCCTTTGTAAAACTGCCCGTTAGTGTGGCTGTTTATTATCACACCAGTGACTCACTGCTTTCTTAAAGTGATTTCACTAGGAGATAGCAGTCCCTATGAACAGACTGTTACTCAAGATTATTGAAATCCTTTGTGACGTTATGTGCTGCTTGACTATAAGATTGTTATCAACTGAAAGACATTTGTTTTGAAGTTTGGAGCCGTTGGAGGTATGCCGTTCTCTTAGAAAGAAAGGAAAAGTAAAAGAAATGGCTGCAGAGCAGTCCAGGAACCCTGACCATAAAGAATGTCCCAAGGCAGCGTGGTGCCAGCTGGAAAGGTAGCAACCCAGCATTTCAGCCTGATCTGGAATGGGTCCCTTGAAGTGCTTCTCACATGTCTTCATGGAAAATGAGTGACTAAGAATATTATCTGTTTGGCTTTCAAGTTCAAACTAGTATCGAGTGCCAGTATAAATAAGTGAAATGGTGAAGTAGAGAGAGCCACGCGTCACTGGAGACACACTGGCGTGTAGACCAATAAGCAGCAGGAAATGGTAACTAGAACAGTTGTGTTGTGTTTCCTGTGGTGAAAAAGGAAAAGAAACCTAGTCGACTAGAAAGGGATGATAGAAAACCATTTTTATAAGTGAAATAGTCGATGGGATCTCATCCACAAAGTTCAAAAAAATTCTAAGTTTGGTGGTGGTAGGGAACCTGGTTTCTGTTTGTTTGTTTACAGTAAGTTCAGAACTAGAATGTCTACCAAAAAAGTAGCCAAGGTAACAAATCGAAGTCAGTCATCATTTTCTCAGACTCAAAGGACAGGCTTCAAAGTTTAAACTGACAGAAAGTTAAGTAGTAACCTGATCCTTTTGGAAAAGCTCTGTGTATTTTGACTAAATTTTCTGAGGGGAAAGGAACATTCTCTAAAATAGATCATCTAGTTAGAAAATATTGGAATAAATTAGGAAATGTTAGAAGAAGCTTTAGAAGCTCTTGGAATAAAAATTAATTTGTACTATTGGTCTGTTCATAATCCTTACACTAAAGACTCTAAATGTGAAATTTTTAAGTTGGAGAATATTGATTTTTGCTGTGGTGTATTTTGTTGTTGTTGTTGAAGTAACAGGCCTGGTAGCAGCATCTGCTAGTCCTGTGTGACAGCAAATGCTGTCCGGAAATGTGAAGAATAAACATGCCGCCTTTACCCTGCGTGAACAGCTTGAGTATAGATCAAACAGGCATTACTACTTTATTGTTTGCAGATGCTTTCCTCTCAGTGTATTTTAATTCATTCTGAAAAACAGCATCTCACAGAAGGGCTAAGTGGAGACTTTTTAAAATGAAAGAGTTCTGAAACAACTAAATTGTAAAAAAAAAAAAAGTCAGATTTGAATCATCATATATTTCAGCAGCTGACATGAAATCAAGTTGGAGTAAATCTTGTTACTTCTGTTTGCTTTAACTATCAGTAAAGAGGTTCGCTGAAGTTGATTTTGAATTTTGTTTATTTATTTGTTTGTTTGTTTATTTGTGAAGACTCACCCCCATTGCCTGTTAGGGTTGCAGCTATGTGTACTAGTGGTTGAGCTTTTTAAAAATCTTATCTTTTCTTTTGAAATCAGTGACGAAGTTCACATACAGTAAAGATTTAGAAAAAGAACAAAGGTAGCTCTTTTACAAAATGTGTTTTATCTTTTGAAATATAAAGTGATATTCAGTTTATTCCACAATGGTGTGTCAGTGCCTTCTATATACAGCGCACCAGACAGTTAGGGGTAACCTAAGTACCTGTGAAACCAAGAATTCTCTTTTAATAAAAAGTAATTTGTGCATAAAAGAAGACATTCCTGACCAATTTTCTTGACAAATGTGTTAATTTTTATCTCCATGCCATGGACAAATTATATTGTAGGTGAAACAGTTATAGTACCATATTTCTGATAACTAGCTGCAACCTTACACCCCCTTAAACAAGATGAGTATATTTTTATAATTTGCTGTAGCAGCTTGTACGTAGGACTTAAACCTGAAACTTAAATTTGTATGTAACAGATGCAGTGAGACTCTGACTGCTAATAATTTAGGTAAATTAGGCCAACAGAGATTAACACTGAGACCACCAAAAGGTCAGATATCAATACAATAGTATCCTAATGTCATAAAGGCAAAAAGGAAGGCAGGATGACTTATGTCAATTTTTCTTTTTAAATTTCCTTATAGTAAATATAAAATGGAAATATGAGTTAAAGTAAACATTTATTGAGAAAGTACTATGTGTCTACCTTTTAATTGTATCGTTAATACTATTTTATATTCTGTAATAATTATTGCATACTAGAGTGATTTGTCCTTAGTTTTGTTGACCCGGTAATTTAGCAGAATATTTGCTTGTAGGCACAAGTATATGCTAAATTCTGAACAGCCACAGGACATCTGTCTCACTAAGTGCCTTCCAACAAGCACACTGTTCATGGGTTTGAACCACATGAGGGTGACTGAGGTTTTTTTCTGTGTGAACATTCCTGTCAGTTTTATGGAAACTTGCAATATCTGTTAAATAAATGTTGAATTAACAACAGGATAAGGATCTATACTGCTCTTACACGGTCATGGCTGAATTACTGCCCTACTGGATTTCTCTTTACCTGACAACTCTTTGTGGTTCCAATCCAAGATTTGTCTTAGAGAAAAATCTGAGTCACCTACTTTGGAGTCCGAGCCCAGTGAAATGATAGGCACCAAGTGTTTTTATTGCATCTTTCTCTAAGCAAATCCCTGGCATTCTTGAAGCTTGATGGTAAATTCTGTGAACTGCTACATCCACTAAAGATAGAGTTCAGCTTTGTTGCAAACAGTTATGAGGGTCTCATGTTCATCTGAGGCATATACCACTGGAAATAGCCCTTCCTTCTTGTATTAAGCAATAATCACTTAAAATTAAGTGGGTCATTGTCTTCTTGAGTAAAGTTTTTCCCCAGAGTTTAGTAGAAAGGAAACAGCGGTCTACATATATATATATATATCAGCCATCTATAAATATATAATATTTGTGTTTACATAGTATTCTTTTGTTAAGTATCTTAGATGCCAATAAACTTTTCTTTTTTGGGGTTTGCTAAAAATATTGGAGAAAGGACCATATCTTAGTCTTTTGGAAGCTATTTTCTTCTTTTCTCCTGTTTTCCTTTTCAGTAAAGTAAAAAACTCTTTGGGCTTCCAAATCCTGGTTTAATGTAAATTTTTCATCTGTTGAAAACTTGAGATTTCCCTAGAAAGCACATCTGGTTTTGAACTGAACGTAAAAGCATTAAACAAATGGATAGCTCTTCCAAGTGGCAGAAATTTTTACTCCTATCTGAATATGTTGGCTTCGAGAACTGTTTTTTTTTTTCCAATTTCTATCTCCTACTCAAATGATATTAATAGTTGTGCTTATGTAATGTCTGTGTCGTGTGTGTTTTTAATCTCTACTTAGGTTGACCTGACAGTTCAAGAAAAGGAGAAATATCTTAATGTGTCTCGCTGGTTTTGTCACATTCAGCATTATCCAGGCATCAGGCAACATCTGTCTAGTGTTGTCTTCATCAAGAACAGACTATATACTAATTCCCACTAGAGGCTCTCCATGCTGTACAGAAGAGTGATTAAAATATTTAAATGGAAAATGTATTCGGGACCAGAGGAGTAAAGTAAATTGATGTGCAGTCATTCTTTATTTGTTGAGGTTGATAGAATTTTTAAAGTATAAACTTGTGTCCAAATGTTTCATTTGTTTAGTTGAAATTTTGCAATTTTTTCTGTAAAAATTCAACTGCTGTCAAACTTGAGTTGAGATCAAGTAATAAATTACCTTGTTTTTATAGATGAAATTTATTTTAGTAAAAGTTGCAAATCAGTGCTTAATCTTAAAAAAAATAGTCCTTTCAATGGTTGACATATTTGGCTATTTATTGACCTCTCTTTTCATATTTTAAAATTCATTTTCCCCTTATGGATATTTACAGTAGTTTGTTTATTAAGAACTTTAATAAACTGTGCCAAGGATACAGAAAGGGAAGACAGATGGATTTGTTTTAAATATTTATGTGAGCCAGTAAATGTGGTTGAAAAAGCCTTTTTTGTTTGCTTCTTTCTTTCCTGTAGTCAGTATTCATTGAGGTGAAACTAACTGCTGAACTGCCCTAGAGGGAACTGGAATAAGATACAGTCCCTTGTGTTAATGGTTTTTTTGTTGTTGGGTTTAGTAGCTAAAAAGAGATGGGAAATTCCCACTATCCCACTAATTTTGCACTTGATAACTACTAGATTTTTCTAAACTAAAAGCCAACTCTCATAGAAAGGCTGCTGTTGGAGTACTGTGTAAAGAACAAAGAGATAATTTATTATTTATAAGCTTATACTTACAAATAATAAGAAAAATAGTCTTTGAGCACTGTACTGTTTAATGCTATTTAATATGTTGGTGCTGATGCTGGATCTAAGTAGGTATACAATTCAAAGTTCAAGTGGAAAGAGCAGAAACTTGGGAAATATACAGCCCTTTGGTTGAGTCCTGCTTTTATCACTTACTAGCTGTCTGACCCTAAACAAATCAGTTAACCATATTTTCCTAATCTGTAAAAATAAAAATAAAATGTAAAATTAAAGATAACTCTCAGTTATGAGGATTAAAGGATAACATCTAGCCTGTGGCTCTCAGCTCTCAGTACAGGTTTTTCCTTCTTTTTGTAAGAGCCCCCCATTTTTGTCCTTCACGTTACTGAGTCAAGAGATTTCATAGGCCAAGTGTGTGAGTATATTGTAATAGAGCAAAACAGTTTTTACAGGATTCGATTTTACAGTTCATTGCCCTTGGGAGCATTTTTAATTTTATAAAATGGCCTTTAAATTAGAAACTGTAAACTTGTATTTGCATATTCAGAGACTAGAAGACTCAAGTTAATCTTGGGAGTTAGTATGTGTGCCACAGAGGTAGGCCCAGTCTCTGGCTTTTCATGCAAATCGCTGCCCCAGCTGGGTCTGCTATAAGCATTCCACATTTTCTTTCACTGTTGCAAATTACTCCTTCCCCTAACCACTTCTCTCTTCTCCCCCTGGACTCCAGGAGGAGGTAAGCAGGACAGACAAGAGATGGGCTACAGCCTTTCCATCCCAACCATTTGATTCTTTTCCTTCAGTTTAGGTCAGCTGTGAGGAAAGGGTAGGAGGACACCTCTCTACCTCTTTGCTGAATGTCCTCTCTTCACACTTCTGCCATGTGAGTCTTAACCCTCTGAATCCTTACTAGTCAATTCTTTATTGAAGTGCACAACATTGCTTCAACAGACATTACCTGGAACAACAGACATTACCTGGAACTACTGTGTGCCAGGACTTCCCACCACTAACTTAGATCTTAGAGGATGAGGAGATGGCTCCTGTAGGCAAAGGTTAGATAATGTTCTCAGTATCTCAATTGAAACAATTCATCTCCTCATAGAAATGCCACTGTGCATCACGGGTTGTTTCTGTCAGGTACTTTTCTGCTTGAAATGCCCTTTCCTTCTCCCTTAATAACCTTCAATATTCAACTTTGTCATGTCCTCTTGAAAGTCAAGTCTATCCTGACCAACCCACCCCCGCCCATGCCCAATTCTGGCACTAATGTTATTGTACTATTTTTGATTTTCTGTCTCTTCCACCAGATTGTTAATTCCTTGAGAGCAGAGACTATCTTTTCCCTTGCATATCCAGCCCTCAAAACGATGACTGGCACACAACAGTAGATGCTCAGTAAGTGTTTGTTGAAAGAATATAGTATTCTTTAAAGTCCATTTTGAGCTGACTAAGAAAAGTGTAAGTGTGAATTGCAATTAGGTACAGCTGTAAATAGCAGAAAAGCCAAATAACATTAAAGTGGGTTGCTTTTCTCTCATGTAAAAGGAGCTAGATAGACTATGGTTGGTATTAGGCATCCAGCTCCTATCTTTCTGCTTCTCCATACTGAATAAGTAGTTTCCTTTCTCCAGTTCAACTTATGGTCCAAGACAGCTATTGGAGCTCCAGACGTCAAGTCCATGATCAAGACCCCAAGAAAGAGAAGAGGAAGGCAGAAAGACTCCTCCCCCACCAAAGCCAGTCCACTTGAAGGACCTTTCCTGGAAGCCCTGTTCAGCAATATCTATTTACATATCTTTGGCCATCCCAACTGGGAGTGAGGGCAGAAATATAGTTCCTTTAGACCACACATGCCATCCAGAATAAAACCTGTGCTCTGTCAATGAGAAAGAAGGAAAAAAGGGATACTAGGTAGGCAGCTAGCAGCCTCTGTCACAATAGGTAGTATTTAAATGGGAAAATACCTTCTGAATGCCAAATAATCAAGTTGTAAAAGAATTTTCATTAGTAAATTGTTGACATTCCATGGGTCATCAATTTGGAAAGAATTAGAATACAATAAAATAAATACTTTTCACTGGCCACAATTTTCATGATTCAGAAGCTATTTCAAGATCCTGCAGTATTTAGAGTTATGTGGATCTGTTAATACACTTTTACTAACAACAACAATAATAGCTAACATTTATTGAGCAGTTACATATCAGGCACCATTCTAAGAGCTTTAAGTGAATTCACTCCTTATTATCCCCTTTTTGCAGATCGTGAAACTGAGGCACAGATTGATTAAGGAACTTGCCCAGGGTCACACAACCAGTATCAGGGGGCTGGGATTCAGACTACCATCTGGCTCAAACTTAACCTCTAAGCCATTTTACTGGTGTGCCAGTAAAGTTCTACTTAATCAACTTGTGAAATTAGTTATTACCAACCTTAGAAAAAGCTGTCCTGGGCATTGGATAAAGCAAATGTGTACATAACTTCAAGAATAAATGAGATGGTTACACAATTCTGAGTATAACTAAAACCCCCTGACTTGTACACTTTAAATGGGTGATTTTGTGATATGTGAATTATAGCCCACTAAAGCAGTTTTTTAAAAAAAGGAGTGAAATCAAATACATCAGCCTCACCATAGATTAATTGTTAGACCTTGGATAAGTCACTGCACATGAAATTCTCCTTATGAAGTAGAGATAAGATCACTGATCTCACTGTTGAACTTGCAGTGAGAATGTATAAAAATTACCTAGCAACAGTGCCTAGCACACAGAAAGTGATCAGAAAAGGACAAACTGCCATGGAAGACTGTAAAATCAAAACCTAGAGTTTTATAAAGTCAAATTCTCACGTCTTTCCCCCACTTCTGTCCCTGAGGCATCTGTTCAACATGAGCCCATCTGAGATAAGTTGGCAGAGCATCTGGTGATTTTGGTAAAACACGAATTCATTATATGACTTTCCAGTTTAAAAATCTCTGGTCCTCACATCTCTCAAGCTGTTGGAAAAAGGGACCATACTATTTTTTTTCTCTAAAGACAATGAAACTCCTCTAAAAGAAAGTGGGGCCATCTTTGTGCATGCTATTCCTTCTGAAAAGTGAATGCCCCTTTCCAACCATTGTTTTTCTGTAATTCCCAGAAGCCTGCAGCACTGATCATTCAATAATCCCTCAAATATTTACTTAGCACTGACTATGTATCAGGCACTCTGCTGGGCTCTGAGGATAGCACAATTACATCATTGCCCTCATAGAGTTTGCAATCCAATGGTCTGTGAACAAATCCCTGAAACCGCAAAATTCTTTGGAAACCCACCAGCCACTCAGCATTCTTTGAAAGTAAATAAAAATAATCAGATACCACTTACTGAGTGTCTACTATGTTCTGGGCTCTGTACCAGGCACTTGATAACATTCTCATCATCTCATTTTAACCTAGGAGCTAAAGTGGAGGCAGAGACTAACCCACACACTGACCAACATCTCAATTACAGCATGGCTGGAGTCCATGAGAATTGTATAATTTCAGAGTTAGAGGATGTAATCTGTCACCATACTAGGCACTGGGGTTGATTTGGCTGCCCTGACTAGATCCATGGCACTGTCTCTATCCACGTGCAACTTTTCAAGAACAGATAAAAAATTCCAAATAGGGAAGGATCATTCTTCAGTCAAGGATCTATGAATTTTTAATTAATTAAAATAAATACTGATTTTAAAACAAATAGAAATAATAGAACCGGAGGCAATATCAAAAGGCCATTTGTCTTTCTACACAGTTATACCCAAAGCATCCAAGACGTCATGAAGTATTTTGGTGAAGTTCTGTGGTAGTAAATCTCCTTCAAGTAGTTACTGTCACAATATGGTAGAAAAAGTGACATAACTTCAAGAAACACAAAATTATCCATCTGTGACCTGACTACCCAGTTAAATTGTACCCCATCCCCATCCAGATTCAGCAATAGATTATTGCACTGAGGTTTATAACAGACACGTGGGCATTCTCATTTTTACTCCCTGTTAAAGGTAGGTCCTCCACTGGCTCCACCCAATTAAACCTGAAGCCATAGTTAACCACAGTCAGTGATAGGCACATTAGGTTTCCTGCAGGGATGAAGGCAGGAAGGATGAGTGGAATGAATGGGAACATCACCCACTGGCAGTGCTGACTTTTGCTAGATTAGGTAGCAAAACTCACCCACTGGCTTTAGAGCCCTGCTGAAAATCCTTCCAGAATAGCTTTAAGATGTGTTGATAAAAATTTAAGCAGATATATTGTTAGGAAAGAATAGAACTCTATTATAATCAGATACATGTACATCACATCAAAAGATTAAATACACAACTATTTGACATGTAGTCAAATTAGAATTATTGTGAAGTATAGCTTTTTCATTTATATATTTTTTCTAACATTTGACTTCATTCCTTTAAAAAAAAGTCAGATGTTACACAAACTTTAATATTAATCTAGATTTGGCAGAGATGTGGTGGTTTAATGGATTACAGCATTTAGCTTTTTACCCCAGAGAGCAATATTTCTTCTTTCTCTCCATAATTAGATAATCTGCTCCTACCCATTACCAGGGCACTAAATTTCAAATTCTCCATACACCTGAGCAGGCTGCTACATATCTGGCCATCTTAATTTTTAGTCTTGATTTATTGAAGCTGAATTACATTCCCAACTCTTCCTGGAGCTCTGGGTGAATTTTATTGCAAAAGCAATG